TTTGGTCTCATTTTAATTTGTTAGTAAATCCTCAAACCGCTTATGTTTTTTTTTAAATAGAGATAAGTTTTGTATGCTATGTTTGGAGAAGGGAGCGAGAATGAAGTGGCCAGAAAAAATATGAGTAAATGGGCTGAAGTAGTACATAGAGAGGCTACAGCAAAAAGCAGCGTTGTGACAATTAGTGGTATCTTCTAAGAGTTGTGCGATGGTCCACACAACTGCCACTCTTCTCCATCAGGGAATTCTGCTGTAACTCTCTACCAAGTGAACTAGTACATCTTTAACCTGTTCTGAACTTACCTCAGGATGCTCATTGTTTTAATAGACTAACACTGAACTTGGCGAGCAAATCTGTTTTAATCTCATACTACATTTTTGATGACTTTGTATGTCTCCTCAATGGTCAGCCTTCCCAGATTCACACATCTAATTACTCTGTGTATTTCCTCCCTTGCCCCAGCATTGAGCTTTCCCACATTCTATTAATTTATCTCTGTCTTCTTGGTTCCCATTACACTCCTCACCGTCTACCCTGTCAGGTCCTTGTGAGCAGAGACCAAGTATAGGCACACAAAAATAATTTTTATTTAATGATTGTTGACCTCCAGTTGTACAGTAGTCAAGATAAATAATAAGAATAGCAACAGCTAATAGGTTTGTTTGCAAAATGCTTTACTATTTATTGTCTTCTTTGGTCCTCAAAACAACTCTGAGAGGTAGGAAGGCCCAATGATGTTGTTATCCCAAAGCACAGAAGACTCTGAGGTTCAGAGAAATTCAGCGACTGACTTAAAATCATACCAGTATGAAGTTGTAAGAGTTAGGGTTTTACTCCCAATTATCTGGCTCAAAATCTTGAAACCATTCAGCTATTCCATTGATAATTTTAGTTGCCCATTTCTGAAGCTGATTCTATATCATTGAAATTCAGTGTCCAGAACTGTGTATAGCACAAAACTGAAATATTTCCTTTTTTCCCTCATATCCCCCACCCCCAACCTCTATTTTGTTGAATTTGTTTTGGCTACTTGGGCATCTTGAGCCAATATCCTTCTGTAGAAGAGTATGTGATGTCTCCTTTTATTCACTATTCTGAGTTATTAGCCTGTTGGGAAATTATAATATTTCTGTAAGGGCCTCTGTTTATATTAAGGCTTAATGAAAACTTCCCTCTCTGTTCACACAGACTTGCAAGTTCTTTCTGTGGTTTAACATCACTGGCTTGACATTTCACTGATGATAAAAATGCTTTTAACTGCACATTTGATACTTCACTGGTATTTACTATATCAAAAATTTGTGATAAATGTTAAACAAGATTAGTCATGAACCAATATTTGAAGAATAGTACTGTTAGACTGTTCCATTCAGAGCCTATTTGTCCTTGTGCCTCTTATGCGTTCCCATTTATCTGCAAAACAGCCTTCTTGTTCATAGTCTGATAAAGCTTTAAACTTTTCCTTGGTGTGAAGCTTGGAGTGACAAATCTAACAAGGCCAAATCTGTAAAACCTCCTTGCATTACCCTCTATTCACATTAACCACCATTATTAACTAAGTGGGCAGCCATTCAATCAACACATACTCCCTGAGGTTGTATTCTCTCACACCCCATGTAACCCGCATCATCCAAGATGACTTTCAGGCCATTACTCATATAACCACTTAGTCATTGTTCCTAGGAGGCCCATTCCACAGAGCTGTACAACTCTCGACTCCTTCATACATGGATCTCAAGTTTGCCCTTCCTCATCCTGTGACAACTTTGACTCCTGAATCACAGTCTTCTTCTTTGTCTCAAGGGTTGCCCTCTTTTATTTTCCATGAGAGGGTAAAGACTGGGTAATGAGGAAGCAGTAGAACGTGGTAGAGAGATTTACATTTGGGCTTCCGTTCTTAAATCCCTAATACCAATGCATAAAACTCTAAAGGTACTGGTATTATTTATCATTTCATTTGTGTAAAATGAAGTGCTCATTAACCCCCAAAGGGGCAGTGTAGCATATCACATGAGACCATGGGCTTTGCAGTCACTAAGACCTGTGTTCACACTCACTTACTAGCTTTAATACCCTGGTTAAGATGCTTCATCTTTCTAAAGTTAATTTTCCTTGCCTGAAAAATAGGGATAATAATAGCTTCAACCTCACCTAACAGAGTGTCTCACTTGTGATGAAAATAAAAAAAAAAATGTTAGCTATTGTTTTTTTATACATGACTGTTATTATTGACATTTAAAAGAGATTAAATACTTCTTTTAACTGTCCCTTCTCATATACCTTTATGAAAACTACTGATGCTCTCTTAACTGTGGGTACTAATTGTACAGAAAACAGAATTTATATCTTCATTATAAGGGGGAAGGAAGCCTTGTGTAAGATTGCAGAACAAAGTTATTTACATTGTGAAGCTCAAATGTCAGTCTTGTAATGTGCCGCATCCGGCACGGGCAGGTTCGGTGAGCCTGAGGAGGGGCGGTGAGGGATTAGAGAAAAGACAGACGAGAGAATAGAGGTGAGGCTCAGTGGATCTCCCAGGCCTGGATGAAGACACGGAAAGACCCAGCCTTAAAGCTGAGGCTTTATTTTGTAGGCAGGTCAAAACAAGGGTGGTGGTCAACATGTTCACAATGTTCTTGTGAGTTTCACCTTGTTTTGACAGCACTTGCTGCACCTCCCATAGCCCATTAGCTACCTGGGAAGGAACTAGGGAGGACTCTAAGGTTAAGCTTAATTAACCCTCCAAGCTGGGACATGTTTGTGGCCCTGTCACAGGTCAATCCAAGGCTTGACCCTATAGCCGCTCCCTACATTGTAACAAGATTTACTAATCAAAATTAGTTCGAAAACAGGGAAATGTGTTGTTCTAAGGCATGGGCACTTGTCTATGAGCAGTTTAGAGTTCCAACAATACATATAGCAGTGATGGCGAACCTATGACACGCGTGTCAGAGGTGACACGCGAACTCATTTTTTTGGTTGATTTTTCTTTGTTAAATGGCATTTAAATATATAAAATAAATATCAAAAATATAAGTCTTTGTTTTACTATGGTTGCAGAGATCAAAAAATTTCTATATGTGACACGGCACCAGAGTTAAGTTAGGGTTTTTCAAAATGCTGACACGCTGAGCTCAAAAGGTTCGCCATCACTGACATATAGGATGGTTTTAGTATTATTTCCTAATCCAAGCCTTCACTTAATCTTGAAAAGTAGAATTTGATTTTTTTTAGATATCTTTACTAATATTTCAGAAACATAAAGCAAATTATGCCCTGAATTTCAAAATGAACACTGATTCATTTCTTTCAAAACTAAAATGTATATAATTATTTTTTCCATATTTTTCTCCCCTGCCAATTAGCAGCAATACAGATGCAAAACCTTAAAGAAGTGAATATCCATTTACATCCCAAGAAGGCCGCTGTGATCATGCGCAAAGTCTGCAAACAAATCAGGAACATAGCAGGTACCAAACACACAAATTGAATTCAAAATCTTTTCAACAACTCAAGTATGGAAAATGGAAACAGGATTTAAATACGCGATTGCACCAGGCAGATCACTGACTCCAAAGATGTTAGGAAGTACTTCAGGAGCTGGAAGCGCCGTTGCTGGTGGTGGCTTTTCTTGGGTAATTGTTGTTTCCAGTGATTTGGGCTGAGGACTCCGTCAGTGCTGTGCACAGGCACTGTTTTTCGTAGCATTCCTATATTTTTGTGCATTTATGCTAAGAACCGTTGAGAAGTAGCAAGCTTTCTTTTCCTTGTGGAACCCAAGCATTTGCCACTTGGGTGGGCCTCCAAGTCCTTCAGCTCTTTTTTTAAAAAAATATATTTTATTGATTTTTTACAGAGAGAAAGGGAGAGGGAGAGGGATAGAGAGCTAGAAACATCGATGAGAGAGAAACATCGATCAGCTGCCTCCTGCACACTCCCCACTGGGTATGTGCCCGCAACCAAGGTACATGCCCTTGACCGGAATTGAACCCGGGACTCTTGAGTCCGCAGGCCGACGCTGTATCCACTGAGCCAAGCCGGTTAGGGCCCTTCAGCTCTTTTAAGGATCTTTTACGGATCCAGTGGAGACGTTCACTTTTCACTTTCCCCTGCTTTCCCACTTTATCTGAAATCTGCCCCTCACCTGAACGCCCGTGACTGCTCTCTCCTTTCTGTCCTCTTCCATTTGGGCTTGTTGCTATGTCTTATCCCTTTATTCCTCCTCCTCAAGCAGCCGGACCCCAAGCCGCTTGTGTGGTAAATGTTCAGCTGTTTGCTCGAGGTTTGGAGTAAAGAGGAAAAATACACTACAACCCAAAGTGGCACACAGTAGAGAAGGGAATATTGAAAATCACTGAGCTAAAAAGTAACTGTTTTTGTAAATAAAGTTTTACTGGAACAGAGGAGCCACACCCCTTCATTCACCTGTTGCCTATGGCTGCGTTCACACCACAACAGCAGACTTAAATAGAAGACACCGAGATCCAGAGGCTTCGTGGCACACACAACAGAATATTCTCATCTTTCTTAATCACACAGAGCAGTTCACTTGGTCCTTCCTTGCTCTGGCTATGCCGTGGAGTCCTCTAACGTTTCCTATCATAAGATCCTTAGGCCATTTTCAGAAACAGCACCACCAGAAGCCTTATAAAGGTAGGGATTCAGCCCCTCCTGTAGAAAGCAGAATTTTTAAAAACGCCACCTTTTTTAGTAAACTTTCTTTCTTTCTGTCCTACCTCTTTCCATATCAATGTGCGCCTGGCATGTGATATTTACATTGAGCAGAGGACAGTGCAAGTGGCCACTTGGAAAGGGAAGGGGAGCCCTGACCGGTTTGGCTCAGTGGATAGAGCGTCGGCCTGCGGACTGAAGGGTCTCAGGTTCGATTCCAGTCAAGGGCATGTACCTGGGTTGTGGCACATCCCCAGTGGGGGGTGTGCAGGAGGCAGCTGATTGATGTTTCTCTCTCATCAATGTTTCTAGCTCTCCCTCTCCCTTCCTCTCTGTAAAAAAATCAATAAAATATATTTTTTTTTAAAAAGGGAAGGGGATGGGAGAGGCATTTCTAGTTAACTAAGATATAGCCAATTCCATTTTTTTTCTAAACAAACCAACCAAAAAAATAGAAATGAATTTGCAAAGCCCTATGTTTATTATTTGGTTTATACTCACTTTGCTTTTGTCTAAGAGCATGTTTTTCATGACTGTTTATGGAAGCAAACAAAATGTTTGTTGAGTTTTTAAAATTCAAAATTGGTAATTAACTTTTTGAAGATTTAATAATCATGGACCTTGATCCTTCTCAAATGGGACCAAGGCGTTTACATATGCCTGGGGAATGTGTGGCTAATATACCAAGGAGACACGGAAGTCATGAGGGAAAATGGCATAGTCATCTAGGGAAATATTTTTTCCTAATGTTTTTCCAATAGTTTGAAGGAGAAATAACATTACTTCTTTATTAACACAAATGCATTATAAGGGAGAAGAAGGCAAATAATGGAGGAGATTTTAAGATAAAATAAGACACAAAACGTTGTGTTTTCCAGATGCTTTAAGTTAGCCTCCAACGCTCTTGGGGTAATGTATTTGTTTTCCTCTCTTATCAGGGTACTTTGATGGAAAAGTTGTGCAAAACTGATTCATAGCCAGCTATCCTGCCACCAAATATAAAAGACTATATAACCAGACTGTGAGGGCAATGTTTGTCTTTAAAAGATTTTATTTTAAAATATTATAGAAGACTGCTTAAAATGTCATTTGATTTACCCTATTCCTGCCAGGTTACCTGCCTAAAACACATTGCCATCTTCCTTCCGATCTAAGTTACGTGAACCCAGCTCAGGATTCACTGACCCAAGAAGCTCTCCCAAATGCCCAAATAACTCCAGTCCAAAGTGATGTCTCTTTTTGGAACTCACAGAACTCCCTGTCTATTCCAATTTTTAAGTAAACGATTTTCTTTTAAGGTAATCTGTGCTTCTTATTGAAAACATGGAAAATGCAAGAAAAAAACATAAAGAATATAAAAATTACCTATAATAGCCTCCACCCACTGATTAGTATTTTTTAAGCTTTATATTTTACATTTACAGGATCTCACCTTGAAGTTATGTTCACTGTATAATATTGAATCTGTGTTTGTTTCCCTCGCCAAATGACAATCATTTCCTCCTCATTAAAAACTGTATATAAACATCCCATTGTATTTGACCTTTCATTTGTTGTTTTTTGCCTATTAACTCTATGGCATTCATTTACTTGATCATTCGTTCATTCTTTAAGCAATGATTAGTCACTTATAAAATACCATAAGTTGTGCTTATGTGCTTTCTTTCCCATGCTAAATTAACTCGAGTAAAGACCACTTTTTAACGTTCCCAAAATTTCTGAGTATAGACTTAATCAAATGAGGAGTATTTGGGAAATATTTGAGAATGAATTTTCAAAATTTAATTTTATTCTCAACTTTTTGAACACATTCTTTTACATCAAGGTGAATCTCAAATTTCGTGCATCGATGGTTGGCCACCTTTTAATAAAAAGGTAGGAATTCCTTAATGAATTTATCTCAAAGTGCTCTTTTACTAGTGGAGTTTTGACCACAGGTGTTCTACAGGAGACGGTTAATCATTTGTGGCAATATCTCAGAGACAAGGTGTGACTTAGAGTTTGTACTCGGCTGAAAACCTGTGCGCTCAGGACAGGGATAGGAGTAGTGGGGGTGATACTGGTAAAAAGGCACACTCCAAAGACAGGTGTGGAAGGACATGAGAATGCTCAACGATGATGTATGTAACAGATGATAATTTATCTTGGGATAATTTATGAGCTAGAAAGAGGGATCAGGTGGCAGTAATTGCTTGGGGTGTCAGGTGAACTGATAGCCCCCTCAGGGGTCTGTGCCTTGCTGGAAGGACAGTGTTCCCAGCCTTAAGAAAGAGGAGAGGCTTCATCCTGGCCAAGGAAGCATTTGGACCCCTTAGACTATGCAATACTCCTTTCAGTCTTGACTGTGTTCAGTGCAGGAGGACATGCCTCCTCCCAACTAATGGATCCTGTTTACTTCCCCTGCCACAGCCATGGTTCAGAAACGAAAAGACTGAAGGAAAGAATTCGTGTGTTATAATGGACCTGTGGGTTTTCTGGAATAAGACTCTCTATTCATTTGCTCACCTCTGAGAACACTTTTGACAAAAGAAGCAACGAGGAAAGGTCAGTTAATAATTAACCTCTCTTATCTACGTAGTTTATGCCATACTGTCTTGTGCCCTACATAGCTACCACAACAGAGGACAAAAAAACCTCCACATTATTCTGAACTTATAACTTATGTGTAATGCTAGCACTGATGATCAACATAAACATTCTGGGTGGTTCAGTTGTCGACCACGCTGCCATCCACATGAAAATTCCTGTTCCTTCAGTGTCCTTCCTTGACAAAAACTATAAAGCAGGAAAATGCTCGTCGGAAAGGAGCCGATTCATTTCAACAGAATAAGATCTGAGACTCAAAATCCTTGAAGTGACTTCACAGAGCTGCCGACATGTACACATGAAGACGCTGGAGCTCTCCCAGTTCCTAAGGAAGCTCCCTCCTCGGAGTGTGGATGCTGTCACTCCGTCTTCCTTCTTTTGTGCTGAAATGAACACACTGTCTAGTCCGGGGAAAGACTGCACTTAGGACATATAACTAGTCTCAGTTACTCAAAGAAAGAGTTGCCTAAGATTTCTGTTTACAAGTTTGTCGTTTTCCTTATTTTCAAATGTGTGTAATATGGAATTGGGCTCATTAAGGAGAATTTGGAAAATGCAAGAGTAAGATAGGAACTGCGGGGGCTGGGCCAGTTGCCGCCAAAAGCTCTTTCTAGAGCTAGTATTCTAACTCTGTTTTGTTTGCCTTTTTGTACACTTGTGAGATGGACGTTCATTTAAGACTGTGAAGCTTAAATGATCTACACCATTATAATGAGAAAGGAATAAAAGGTTTTATCTTTGCAAATCTACTTACGGAATATGCTTTGTAATATGTTTACTGTTTCAAGCCATTCAAAGCCAACAGGAAACAAAATGAAAATACATCCCTTCTGAGAAAATGCCCTTTCTGTATTTGACTGGCTTCAGAATAGCTGTTGTGGGTGTGGCATACACAGTAATGCTCTTCTGGTAACAGCTATTGACTGGCAGGTTTTACCAGGTGCAAATAGAGGTGGTATGGCTCCCAGGGCCAACATCAAAAAAGATGGTTTTCTTCCCTGTAGCCACTCTCTTTCAGGTTTCCACAAACACCTGCTGTGTAATTCACCTGGACAGTAGGAGGCCTTGTCTGAGAGCATTCACAGGTGCATTCATGCTGCTACCCCGCCTCTGAAAAGCATCATGTAAATATACTAATGTAAGCGGCAAAGAATCATCTAACATTGTTTTATTTTAAAGAAGTTGGCCTCTGTTTAATGACATCCACACACATCCTTACCTCCATTCATAAAGCCTTAAAAGAAGATCTAACACAGCTCAAAACCTGGTCTACAAACATGCATATTTTCCATTCTCTCCTCATTTTCTTTCGGCAGTTTGACAACATCTTGAGGGGAAACTGGAGGAACCACTAGTGCAGCGGTTCTCAACCTGGGGGTCGCAACCCCTTTGGGGGTCAAATGACCCTTTCACAGGGGTCGCCTAAGACCATCGGAAAACACATATATAATTACATATTGTTTTTGTGATTAATCACTAGGCTTTAATTATGTTCAATTTGTAACAATGAAAATACATCCTGCATATCAGATATTTACATGACGATTCATAACAGTAGCAAAATTAGTTATTAAGTAGCAACAAAAATAATTTTATGGTTGTGGGTCACCACAACATGAGGAACTATATTAAAAGGTCGTGGCATTAGGAAGGTTGAGAACCATTGCACTAGTGTTTACTCCCCTACTTTCCTCAAGGCATTGACTCTCTTGAGTCAATACTCCGCTGTGAATTCCATCACAGGTCATCTCAAGACTAAGGGGCGGACATTAGCTCCACCTCAAGGATTAGTTAGCTTCTTTACCTGATTTAGGAGGGTTTTTCTGTGCAGACAGTTGTAGTTCATTCCTTTTAGAGTCAAATCCAGCTTTGTTCTCTGTGTCTAATTATTATTACAATTAAAATCTCTCAGACATCTCCCATGCTCACGAAGTATGGGCAGGAAGATGTTAAATCATTTGCCAGCAATACATGTTTATTTAGTAATTAATATGTATTTATTATGTACCTACTACAGGCCTGGAACTATCTGAGCACTTGAGAAAAAGCGAAAAAAATTTATCCCTCCTTCATGGATCTTGTCCAGAAAAACAAGGAACAAGGTTCAGAACATATCAGTTGGAGCCTCAGGTGAGTCAACTCCAAACGAGTTAAAGAAACCAGCAGGGTTGCGGGCACATCCCCAGTAGGAGATGTGCAGGAGGCAGCTGATCGATGTTTCTCTCTCATCGATGTTTCTAACTCTCTATCTCTCTCCCTTCCTCTCTGTAAAAAATCAATGAAATATATTTAAAAAAAATAAAATAAATTTAAAAAAAAAAAAAAAAAAAGAAAAAAAAAGAAACCAGCAGGGATACCATTTATGATGCTAAGAATGGTTTGACGCCTTGGCCAGTTTTTGTCAGTGGTTAGAGTGTGGGCCGTTGGACCGAAGGTTTGTGGGTTGGATCCAATGGCAGGTACCTTGGTTGCAGGTTCCACAGCCTCCTGTAGGGGACCATGCAAGGAGCCAACCAATTGATGTGTCCTCTCTCCAGGTCCATGGTTTCTCTGTCTTTCCCCCTCCTTTCCTCCCTCTCTTCCTCCCACTTTCTCTAGAAATTGTATCCTTGGGTGAGGATTTAAAAAAATAATTTGATGATTCCGAGGTATAGAAATTTCACTGGTAGGAGAAAAGTTCAAGTAAATCCCAATCGTTGAATCTAATCTAGTACAGTGGGGCCCTTGACTTATGAGTTTAATTCGTTCCGAGACCAAGCTTGTTAAGGAGCTCATTAAGGAGCTCGTTAACTCAAATTACTCTGTCAACTCAATGCAAAAAATCGGCGGAGAGACAAAACTGGTTAGTCCGGACACTCGTAAGTCAAGGCCCCACTGTACCTATAACTAGGAAACTGAACACTAGCTATATTTTTTTCCCTGTTAAATCTTCTCATGAAAACAAAACAAAACAAAACATACACCTTACTTCCAAGCCTAGAAATAGATGGGAAAGTTTTCCCCCAGCTTTACTGAGATATAATTGACATATAACATAGTGTACAGATAGATGATTGTAGAGAATAGATTCTCTGTTTGCACAAATAGGTGCCAACATTGAGCCACAGAACATTTGTTATACCTTTACAACTATAATAATGAAGACAGAGTCTAAATCCCCCTCATTGAGTTTCCTATTTGTTGCCTTACTTATACCTCCTTCAAGTAAGTGTCATCATGGAATGTCTGCACTTAATAATCCAAGATTCTAAGGCAGCCATGGACAAACTACGGCCCGCGGGCCGGGTCCAGCCCGTTTGAAATGAATAAAACTAAAAAAAAAAAAAGACTGTACCCTTTTATGTAATGATGTTTACTTTGAATTTATATTAGTTCACACAAACACTCCATCCATGCTTTTGTTCCGGCCCTCCGGTCCAGTTTAAGAACCCATTGTGGCCCTTGAGTCAAAAAGTTTGCCCACCCCTGTAAGGCCTTTATTTTATACATCACCTCCACGCACACTGGTACTGTTTTACGGCTCAGCTAACAATCCAAACATTGTGTTGGTCTGAGAAGAAGAGGAAATTCCATGATTTGTTGAGCCCTGAAAGTCGTTAGTACATCTCAGATGCTAAACTGTTTAAATATATATACAGTTTTCCGATTCCAGGAGATGTGTTTGAGGTTTGTATTGAGAGCTTCCATTTCCTCATCATCCTCTCATTCCTTAACCTTCTGTGATAGTTTCTATCACCATTCTATGAACAAAGTAGATGTTGATATATAAGTTGGGTTATTAAAAAAAAAATGTCTTTACCTGATTCCAAATGTATCCCTGAGTCAATATAGAAAACTGAAAAGCACAAAAAATGAAATATGCACAATCCTATCAACTGTTAGGTATTTTGTGGGGTTTTTTGGTATATTTCCATCTAACCTTTCTTTACGCATATCAATAAACTACTTTTGTCTTATAAAAGGAATACCAAAAGGCACATACTGATTTGGAGTCTGCTTTTTCCACTAAGAATAGATAGTTTCTCACATTGATATATATATTTTTTAACACTGCTTACTGCACAGAATTCCATCCCATTAGCCATCTGGCAAAAATTCCTTATACTTTTGCTAGACACTTAAGAGCTTATTTTTTTCCCCCAAAATTATACATTTTGGCTCACAGGACTGATGGTCTCTGTGGGATGAACTCTAAATGTAACTATTTGCTTTAAACATCAGCTCTATTTAAAAACTTCAGAAACACAAAAAAATTGTGCTACAAACCAAAGTTTTGTGGGTCCTGGTCCCCCCCAATGTTTACTCTCAGTGTTTGACATTTTTATCCCTTGCAACTAATAGGAAGAAAATGTTAATTCTTTTTGTTTGTTCTTTTAATACTGGTCATATTACCGGCTTTTGTTTTATTAATACAGGCTTACTCACAATTCTACAAATAAATCTTGCTCATTCTTATATTTCTAGCATTGAGAGACTGTTTCATCAGAAAATTTCTCCGTATTATTAATTCCTATATATCCGAACAATAATGGTATTCATCACTTCCAAGAATTTGCCATTAATACATCCTTGTCCTTAACTTTTTCATTCATGTGCATTTCCTCTTCAACAAAACAGTTCATTGATGAAGAGCAAGGGCCCATATGTTTATGGTCAAGTATTAATTTACCTTCCCAGGGGTCCTCTCAAGGGAGTAGGGGGCAGAGCATTTACATGAGGGGCTGGGAATACAGTGGCCACACCATCTTGGTGATTTTGAAATCTAGCAGGCATCGAGAGGATCCAGTAGCAGGCCTTCAACCACGGAGATCTCAGGTGTCGTCCCTAATTATGCCGAGTTAATGCCAAATGTTGAGCAAGGGCCCTGGTACTACTGGCAATCTGGTGGCCCCAGGACCAAAGGGGAGCCCCCTAGGGGTGCTGGTCCCTAGGCGACCCCGGTCTGGGCTCTGGGTTTCTATTTTCAGGTCCATGAGGTTTATGTTTCTATCCCGGGCTCCGGAAAGGGCGCAGTGATGACTGGGCCAGCTCTTGTTTCCTTTCCACCCTTCCTGAGTGGAGTGGTAACTGCCCGTTTAAGGACGCGGTGGTGAACCACCATTTCCCCGCAAACCCTGTCAGGTGGAGAACCATCAGTCCCCCGCCGGCGCGGGCGGAGCCTGACCTGCCAATGACCCGCCGGGTTAGAGCGCGGCCAGGCCACGCCCCTTTCCTTCCTGGGCGAAGGCTCCGCCCCGGCCCGAGGCCCCGCCTTGCGGCTCGCGATTGGCCCCGCCCCCTAGCGTTACTTCCGCTCGGGCGTGGTCCAGGCCCATTGGGGCTCCGCCTTCAAGGCTTCTTGAGTCTCCGGGTTGCTGGGTCGGGTGCAGGTCAAAGGCTTCCCGCTCACCTCCTGGAAAATGACGGCTTCTCGCGGGCCTCGGAGGGCACCTCGTCGCCGTCCCTTCTCTTCTTGGAGCCACTTCGTTGGGATCCTTTTGGTGACGCTCGCGCTCTGGTTACCTGCATCCACCGGTAGGGGCCTGGGGAGGGACCCGGTGCGCTCCCGGAGCGAGCTGGAGCGGGTTGGGGAGCCGGCCGCCCGCAGCCGAGGGCGGGGAGAGGTTGGGGTGGTGGGCTGGGTTAAGGGGGACGGGGCTTGGGCAGAGCTGCCCCGGTGGTGCTGTGCGCGGCTCCCGGGGAGGGAGGACCCCGAAGTGCGGGCGGTAGCGTTTGCTCTGTGGTTTGTACGGAGCCTCTCAGGGCGCTGGGCGCGGCCGGGGTTTGCAAAAGCTTGTCCACAGCGAACGCGGGCAGGTGCTTCGGGACGGAGCCCAGCAGGATGGGCAGCGCAGACCCGGCGCTCCAGGTGAGGGCTTGCTCTGCGGTGCCCCAGCGCGTGGGGGTGTCGCCAGGGCCCGCGCGTGCCCGCCGTGGGTGTTTGCGCTGCGTTTCCTGGGCGGTGTGATGTGTTGGTGCCCCATGGGGTCGGCTGGGGAAGCCCGGGCGGGTGTTAACTGCTGTTGTCGGGTGTGTGCTTACGGGAAGTGGCCTGGGCAGGGGTGCGGAGTGTGGGGCAAGGAAGCGCGCTGCTTTCTCCGTGTGGGGGCTGGGGAGCGCTTGCGGAGCCGTTGAGTGAGAGGTGTGGTTTTGGAAGGGCGCTCAGTGCTTTTGTAATTAAAGTTAACGGGCTTCTTGTTGCCTGGATTCGTATTGGCAATGATTTGCTGACTGTTGCGCCCGGTGTGATCTTGTTCCCATGTAATATACGCAGTAACCTATTCAATTACTAAATGTATTTTGGCGTGTGTTTTTTGTTGTTGGTGAGTCATATTTGAGGGGCTATCCAAAGTAACCTAAAACGTTGGTAGGCAAACCCAGTGAGAAATTAGTATCCCAAGAAATGGACAATAAATAATGTTAATATGGTTTTCCCCTACAGGTCATAAACTAAAGCTGGGAGTTTTGCTAAAATTTATTGGGACTGACTAACCAAACCATAATACAAGTCTTTTTTAAAAAAATACGTTTTAATTGAATTTAAAGAGAGAGGAAGGGAGCGAGAGAGACAGACAGACATTGATTGGTTGCCTCTTGAACCCACCTTGACTGGGGATTGAACCCACAACCTGGGCATGTGCCCTGACCGGGAATCGAACTGGTAACCTTTCCATGCTTTGACAACACTCAACCTACTGAAACACATTGGCCAGGGCCAAAATACTTGTCTTTAAAAAAATAAAATAAAATACATATATATATTTTAATTGATTTCAGAGAGGAAGGGAGGGGGAGAGAGAGATGGAAACATCAATGATGAGGGAGAATCATTGATCGGCTGGGTCCTGCACACCCCCCTCCCCCACCAGGGATGGAGCCCACAAACTGAGCATATGCCCTGACCAGGGAATGGAACCTTGACCTCCTGATTCATAGGTCGATGCTCAACCACCCAGCCACTCCAGCTGGGCTTGATACTAGTGTTATAACCCCAGACAGGTGCTCTGGAGGGACGGAGCGTGATTCTCCGACAGCATTTAACGAACGCCTGGTGGAAGGGAAGGCTTTTCTGCTCTGAGACAGAACAAACTCTGCCGCTTTGGGGCTTCTGCACTTGCTGTTCCTCAGTCTAGGAGCATTGTCCTCCTGCCTCTTGCATAATTGGCTCCTTCTTATCTTTCCAACTCATTGGTGTTGTTACCCCATCAGAGGGACCTTCTGTGACCATCCTATCTCAGGTAGACACACACACTCACACTCATCCTAACTTGTAATTACCCTTCCAAAACGATGTTTTCGGTTCTCTTCCCACTAGAATACAGAGATCTTGTGTGTCTTGTCACACTTGTGATTACAAATGCTCACTGTTTTGCCTCAGTATCAACACTGTTGTATAACTATTAAGTAGCAGGAAGTTAAATATAATAATTCAGCTGAGTTTGAAAAGCTCAGGAACAATACTCCTCCGGCCTCTAGGAGGAAGCTTCTGTAATCATGTTTTCCTTAAACAAATAGATAGCCATATACTTGTCCAACAGAATGAGTTTATTCGGAAACAACAAAGAATTGTATTTCAGGACGTATTGTCTAAAGGTGAACCAACAACAAGCCCAGAGAAAGAAAGGAGAGGAACTGAAAGTTTGAAGTATAGTGACTTCTCATTGGCCGAGTTCTGGCAGTCTCATCAGCTGAATAGGCAAGGAGGAATCTTTCTCTTCCTCCTGTTGAGGCAGCAAAATAGTATCACTTTCTGTGGGAAATGCATGGTAAGGTCTCTCACATTTGGGATCATCCATATGTGTTGCTTAATGTGTGTGTGAGTTTTCTCATCTAGCCTCCTGATTCCATTTTAAATGAGATTTCTATTTTTTAATTTTCACATGACCCCTTTTGAATGATTTTTCTACAAAATCATTGCTGATCAAGAGTCAGGTCTTTTTGGATTCAGTGGCCTTTTGTTCGTTGATGCCAGGAAGGACCGTTCCTGAGTGTCATGTTCCATGTCAGAGGGAAATGTACAGGTTGTAAACCTATCATTTGAGTAATGAGGAATCGGGAGGGGCAGTGAGATCTCCCAGGAATTACCCTTCTCCAGTTTGCCTTGTAGAATAGTGAATCCCCAAAGGCATACTCAGCACAGAAAGAATTAAGAGCTTTGGGAAGACAGTATAAAACATGAAGCAATTAAGCAATATTGCTCTCTCAAAAGAAACTGGAACAAAATGTCTTACCAGTAAGCCTGTAGGTTGCAAATTCAGAGACTGAATTGGATACGAATCCATGATCAGTTAATAGTCTATGAAAGAGAGACTTTTGTGAGTTTGAAACCTTCTAATTGGCTTGGTCTGAACAGATGGGGTAGATGTCTCATCAAGTGTACTCTGCATCAATTTTGGGAAATTTTCGCCCTCAGGTCACTAGATAGGGTGCAGGTTCAGTCAGGATTAGGTGCTTTTTTTTAGATGTGTCACCTGAATCCAGGAATGTATTGCCTGAAGTTTGACCCCAGAAGGTTGGTTAGCAGGATCTGATAGGGGCCTTTGTAGCGAGGTTGCAAAGAGTCTTCTCCAATAGATGAAGTGCCCAGGGTGCACAGTGTGTTGTTTAAGGTCTTCATCTTCCTGGAGTTCACTGTGAAAAGATTGCTTTACCAAAACATTAATGTTCTTAAAGATTTCTTTTTAAAAAAATTTATTTATTGATATGAGAGAGAGAGAGGAAGAAAGAGAAAAACATCGATTTGTTGTTCCACTTATTTATGCCTTCACTGGTTGATTCTTGTATGAGCCTTGAGTAGAGATCGAACCTGCAACCCTGGCGTATCAGGACAATGCTCTAACTAACTGAGCTACCCAGCCAGGGCAGAAAGTGGTTAATTTTGATAGAAGAACTTAGGCCATTATAATATTGAAGTATATCTCCTTTGACCTGTTGTCCATCAAAAGAGGCAGGCGCGCTGTGAGAGTTTGAGTTCTAAAGGAGGAGGATCTGCGATTTAGAAGGACCAACTGCAGTGCTTTTGGCCAAGGTACGTGGAGGGTTTCTGCAAATTTTGTCAACGAGTCTTAATGCTGTTAGTGCATGTGACTAAACCTGAGGATTGAGCATGCTCAGTGCAGTGAAAGTGTTGTCAGACTGGCCATACAGTACAAAACCGTGAATGCACCTGACTGGTAAAATGGGTTCCTTTGACCCCTGTGGGTTCTGGAGGGCTTCTCTAGGTGAGGGCGATCTTCTCACAGGGACTTTAGCCGCAGCAGAAGCAGTAGCCTGTCTGCTGGGAAAGCTTCAGTCTAGTGAGAAAACATACAGACCACTACTAAAATATATTCATATCCACGAGATGGGAAAGCTACACGAAATCCATTTGCCTGACTGAGAATGGTCCATTAGGCAACTTAAAATATCCGGCAGCAGTTGGATCAGGCTTTCCTGGCTCGTACTTTAGACAAGTGGAACAAGTAGGTACTTTTGGGGGCCTTATTAATAGGTGCCCACTAATATTGATGCATAGATGCTATCATTTTGTCAGTGGGCCAGTGGCTTAATGCGTGTGCAGTAGTTCGGAGTGGGAATTTTAGAGCCTCTGGTTGGACTGGGCTGTTATTTGGCCTGAACCAGAGCTTCTTTATATCAAACCAACACTTATCAGATTTCCAATTTTGTTTTTCTTTTTCCCGAGGCCAATTGTTGGACGTCACTAGCCAGTTTTTTGACGTTATCATTTGAGGAAATATCCCTTTGGCCATACCAGAGGTTTGACTGTTGGTTCCTTTTAAGGACTGCATTCCTTGTGGAGTCAGGTTTAGAATTCCCTGGGATCTTAATAATAGCTAAAAGTATAGCATCCAGTAATTTCTGAACATACAGGCCATTTTTAAATTTCAGCTGGAAGTAAGAAAGCCATGTTGCTTCGACAACATTCCAAATCATGACCTATTCCAAAGGCATCTCTCCTATCAGTAGAAATATCAGCAGTTAGGCCCTCGGCTAAAGTGCAGGCCGGAATGAGCTTGGGGGGCTGTCGTAGCTAAAGGCAAAGGTTCCACTTCAGTTACATCAAACAGTGATGATGTTGCATATACAGTTAAATATTTGCCATTTTAATAAGAATTATTACTGAGACAGGAGAAGTCAGCCTTACCCGAAGGAGTGTCCTCCAGATCTAATTTAAGGTTTCATCCTTTTCTGGTCAAGGCCTTGTTTTAGCTGAGTGGCTTCGGTTGGCACTTGCCTGACTTTTAAAATCAGGCTATTTCACTGCAACTGTGATGATGTTCTTCCTTTTGGAGCCAGGCTGCTGCTACTGAAACTTGCTGGCCTACAATCCATCTTTGATAATGTTAAAATACTATTGCTAATAATAGCAGTAATGGGAAATGGGTTCATCCAAGCATAAATATTTTGACATGAAAGAAATTTAAAACTCTAGTAAAGGGAAATAAATATCTATAACTAAACCAATGAAAAAAAAAACTTTGAATACAGGCAAAACCTGAAGAAAAAATTATGCTTTGCAGATATCTCTGGAACAAGCTGGCTGAACCATAAAGAATTTAATTTTGGTCTAAGAGTGTATAGAGCTGCAACTGTGCTCATTCAGCTCTGGTTCTAGGTACCAGAAATGCAGTGATGAATGAGACAGTCTTGCGCGGAATGAGAATAATAAAGAATTACAATATGAAAAGTATATTGGGGTATTATGATGACATCCCAGTATTTTGAGTGACATGTTGAGCCTCAAGGAAGAATTGGCATCTAAGATGTAACTGAAAGATGAGTGGGTGGGAAGAATGACAGGGTTTCTGGTCAAAACTGAAATAAAATAATGCATGGAGGCCTACAATGCTAAAGTAATTTAATGGGCCCCAAGGGACTGAATATAGCTTGACAATAGTGTGCAAGAGAAAGCAGGATTGAGATAGTGGCAGATTGTAAGTCTGTTAGCCATGCCAAGGAGCCTTAGACATTATCCTGAGGGCACTGGTGATCCATTGCAAAGTACCAGACTTGGAAAGTCCTTGGTCACTGTGTCCTATCAATATTATTCGGGTAACAATATGAAAAATGAATTGAGTGAATAGTGCCAAGGTGTGGGTAAGGAGACCTATCCAGAAACTCTGGTCATAATCCAGATAAATGATAGTGGCTGTAGAAGTAAGGATAGAACTAGAGCAGTGGTTCTCAACCTTCTGGCCCTTTAAATACAGTTCCTCATGTTGTGACCCAACCATAAAATTATTTTCGTTGCTGCTTCATAACTGCAATGTTGCTACTGTTAAGAATCGTAATGTAAATATCTGATATGCAGGATGGTCTTAGGCGACCCCTGTGAAAGGGTCGTTCGACCGCCAAAGGGGTCGCGACCCACAGGTTGAGAACTGCTGAACTAGAGGATGAGCAGACATTCAGTTCTGGAAACCAGTTGAACTAGTTTGCTTGGTATGCCTGTGAAGAATCAATAGAGCACATTCATTATGTTATTTGAGACAGCATGACACTTTCCAAGTGGAGCTGTGCAGGGTGTCAATTTAATATATAGGTTTGTCACCCCAGCTGGAGATCTAGGATGGAAAGGTATTTGAGAGGTAGCTCTTTTTAGGGGTAATGAAGTCATGGGAGTATATCTACCTGCCCAGGGGAGTCTGCAGAATGCAATATCAAGAGAACTGCCTATTAGAAATGTCACATTATCCAATCAGGCAGAGAAGGGAGAGCAGTCAGGACAAGCTGAAAACCAAGTGGTCATGCTGTCCTGGGAACCAAAGAGAGCTTTTCAGGCAGAAAGGAGCCAAGACAGAGTGACCAATAGCTCCAGATGTTCTAGACGGCAACTAAAACTACCAAGGAAGAAAAGGTTAGGAGTCGTTGAAGAACAAGGAGGCCACTTAATGACTTTGAAAGTAATTTAGTGATTTTCGTAGGCCTACAAATGAGGCAGTGAGAAATAATTGGCAGGTGTAGGTGCCAGTGTCTGCATTTTGGGAAGCAAAGAAAGTTTAAAAAGAGGGTGTTGTGTAGACAGTGGGAGGAGGAGCAGGATTGTCAGGTTTCACTGGGGTTCTGGTTTGGTGCGACACCATGATTTTCTGAAGGCACCACTCTGGGCAGAGGTGTGTATACTCATGTCAGAAAGTGATTGTAATTTTTGCAAGCAGGGAGAGAGTGCTTACCCAGTTTTGACAAGTGTAGACAAGGTGAGCAGTTCTCTTGATCCATAGCAGAAAATGATTTCATTTTCCCGAAACCCATCTAGAACATTGGCAAGTTTTCTGGATGCAGCCCATCATCTTAATGTCATCTATGTTAAAGTGTAGCATTGCAGCCAAATAAGAATTGTATTTAAACTACCTAGAAAAAACTAAGTCAAGGTGCTATTTTTCTGGGTCCTGAAATGTTTAGTTTATAAACATTCACATAGAAAAAAATTCAGTATTCTGAGCAAGGGAAGAAATTTGCTTATTAAAAGATGTGGTATTGCATTCAATTATTACAGTGTATATAGCTTGTGATAAACTGGTTGCCGAACACTGACATGCACATTGGTGGAAGCGTGTCTTTCATGGTGTATGTTAGTGGGAAGAAATACTTCAAATTAGTTGAATGGATTAAACGATCTTACTGACTTTTCCTTTTCAATATAGACACTACATGTGAAAGTCATATTAGGAATCCTCTCTCCTTTATCTGCTTTCAAGATAGTCACTGAGATTGAATGCATAAAACAAAGGATACTTGTATAATTTAATTGTGGGCATGCTGTTACATGATTTCTTTCGTGGTGGTTCCATGAAATTCTAGAATGTTGTTGTGCATTTGTATCTGAACACAGTTGTATAGAATTTCTAGCCCATGTTTGTTTTCCTATTGAAAATGACAATATCTAGCTCAGGGTATTCAGTAAATGTAATGTTATTAATCAATAAAACAACATTCATCAATGTTATTTTAAACAATGCTTTTAATTATTAGGGGCTTTGGTTTGCTTTTTGCATTTATTTTGTTTTGAGCAGTTGATTGAGGAATATTCGGATATCAAGGGCAGCATAGTGGAAATATTGAAAACATTTGCCAGTAGGTGGATGATGGAAATGAAATGTTGGACTGGGTATAGAGTTTTAGAATTTAGAATATGATAAGAAAAAAGAGTACAATTTCACGTGTTTAGAGTTCTCTTTACTGGTCTCTCAATCTGAAATAAGTCCAAGATTAAGGAAGTAAAAGAGGAAAGATTCCTTAGGGAGTAAAATAGATCTACCTTAGGCCTTAAACTTTATAGGAGAGGCCTCTGCATTCTTTTAGTCTTCTAGGGCTTTACTTGATGTGTCTCCATCACATTATTGTATGTAATTGTTCTAAGAGATTGGTTAGGTTTTCAAGCCCACAGATAATTTTAAGCAGCGGTTCTCAGCCTGTGAGTCGAGACCCCTTTGGCGGTCGAACGACCCTTTCACAGGGGTCGCCTAAGACCATCCTGCTTATCAGATATTTACATTACGATTCATAACAGTAGCAACATTACAGTTATGAAGTAGCAACGAAAATAATTTTATGGTTGGGTCACAACATGAGGAACTGTATTTAAAGGGCCAGAAGGTTGAGAACCACTGAAAAGGAAGGCAAATTGCTTAAGTAGAAATGTGAAGAGAGTGAAAACTACCCCCCTCCAAAAATAACAGGGGTAAAAAGTTCTAAAAGCATAGCAATGAAGTAGCTTTACTATTGGGATATATATCGGATACACAGCCCGTACAGCTACCTCAGGGAGCTTCTGAGGTCTTGTATGATCCATTGATCTGTGAAGGAAGATTACATTGACCCTTGAACAACATTGGTTTGAACTACCCGAATTCATTTATGCCTGCATTTGTTTCTATCTATAATAATAAAAGCATAATACGTTAATTAGACTGGATGTCCTCCCGGACGACCTTCTGGATGAAGCTGGGGCTGCCAGGGTGGGTCCCGGGTGCCTGCCAGCGGCTGGAGGGAAGCCCGGGTCCCCGGTGCTGGTGCAGGAGGGAAGCCTGTGCCGGCAGCCAGGGGAAGGAAGCCTACTCTTGCACAAATTTCATGCATCGGGCCTCTAGTAAATATATAGAAACTGCTGGTATCTAGGTTTCACGTCTGTGGAAACAACCAACAGTATTTTCCATCTGCAATTGGGAATCCGACAATGCAGAGGACACACTATAGGCATTGTTCACCACTTTATATAAGTGACCAGCATGCAGGGGTTTTTGTATTCATGGGGTGTCCTGGAACCTATCCCTCACTGGTACAAAGGAAACATTCTACTTAAGTTTTGGGGAATTCAAAAGTCATCTGCGGATTTTCAACTGTGTGGGGACTCCTGAGCGAACTGCTGCATTGTTCAAGGGTCAATTGTGTAGTTAAAGTAATGTTAAGAAAGCAGAATTTTTTTCATGTGAGGCTATTCAAATAATACAGTTTTATTTTAAATGGCGTTTACTCACTTGTAAAAATGCTCACTTCGCTAATATAAAGTCTTATATTTTGAAATAATTTAGTCCATATTATTTCTACCTATGAAATCCCAATACTTAAATAATTACCTCTACTCATACCATTTCTTGAGTACCCACTGGGTGCAGAGTGTAGCAGGAAAAGAGGCAGATGACCCTGACCTCTAGGAACTTGCCTCCTGAGAGGAGGCTGAGCCTGAGGTGACAAGTCACCATCAGTTTGCATTTCAAACTGTGGACAAGGACCCTGATCTAGGGCTGCATACTGTAGACGATGTCCTAGGGGACAGGTGAGTGTGAAATGAACTGAGAAAAACTGGGGAAGGACGCACACCGATAAGTACATTAAAAACCAAAACTATTGCTGCTGTCTCTTTAACTTACTGTTGAATGAATATTCACCTTATTCCCTAAGAAACCATAAGCTCACCAAGGACCTGCCTGCTGCCAGGCCAGAATCCGTGGCTGGTGAAAAAGAGAAAATACTTGACTTTCATGTCTTATTCTCTCATGCCCAGATGCCTGTGATGAGATACCAAGATATGAATCTATGAAAGCCAAGGGTAATCCTGTGCCCCCTGTAAGTCCTGGGTTCGCAGTAGAATATGAGTGTCGCCCAGGATACAGGCTTATTGTTCCTCTTGTTCGTCCCACCACCACTGTTTGTCTGGCTGATGGCACATGGGCACCTCCTCTCCAGGAGGCTTGTACAAGTAAGTACACAAGACTTTTTATTTTTATTGCTCTAAAGATTTTCATACATTTTAGACGGCATATTCTGCTACTACAATGATGGTTTTCTCACGTGGAGGTAGGTTTTAGATAGCCATGTATTTTTTCAAGCTTTGAAAAACTTCCAGGTAATCTTTTTCTTGTTAGTTGTCTGGGTAAATGTGAATCTTAAGTTTGGCCTTTTAATAGTTAAAGAAAGAAAAGTAGTATTCTTTTCAGTAGAGCAACGTAGAATTTAGGTTTTGATTCAGATCTGTTTTGGAGTTTGTATTAATCAACGAATTTAAAAAATTTCTTTCAGGAAAATCATGTCCACAGCTAACAGAGCCCCTAAATGGCCGCGTAGAAGGAAGTTTTCAGTTTGGTTCACAGGCTAACTACTCTTGTAATGAGGGGTAAGTAGAGGAAATAGGTAAATGTTACTACTTCTATTTTTGTTTTGCTTCTCTTCTAAGTATTCCCATAATGTTGATTTAATTTTGCTTTGTGTGTGAGAAGTTGTACTCATAGCCAATCAACTCTTGGGCTTCTTATAGAGATGGAAAAGATGTGTAATGAATAGAAAGGAATTTCCATTGAAGTAAAGCAGAACTGTATAATACTATCCTATATAATAAAAGCCTAATATGCTAAGTGTCCGACCCTTTATTCGACAAGTTGCTATGATGCCCACTGACCACTAGGGGGCAGACGCTCTGTCTGGTAGGTTAGCTTCCTGCTGGGGACCGGCCAATTGGGACTGGGAGAGACAGGCCGGACACGCCCTGGAGTCCCCTCCCACAGTTTCTCCCAGGCCAGCCAGCCCCGATCAGCCCCTGCAGGCCAGGCTGAAGGACCCCACTGGTACACAAATCCATGCATCGGGCCTCTAGTCCTATCTAATAATAGAGAAACATGGTAATTAACCGTAACTTCGCTACCCTTCCCATTGGCTAATCAGGGCGATATGCAAATTAACTGCCAACCAAGATGGCGGCTGGCAGCCACTCAGCTGAAGCGAACAGGAGGCTTGCTTGCTCCAGTGATGGAGGAAGCCAAGGTTCCCCGCCTGCCACCGCCCAGCTCTGAGCTTCAGATGCAACAATGTTGCAATTATAGAAGCTAAACTAACCCCAGAAACCTGCTTTCAGCCGCCAGCGGCCTCAGAGCTTAGAGCGCCAGTGATGGCAACAGAGTTTCAATTATAGAATCTAAACAAACCCAGATACCTGCTTTCAGCCAGCCACAGCCTCAGAGCTGGAGCCAAGCCTCAGAGCTAAAGCCAGCTCTCAGCTCCAGTGACAGCCATAGAAGGTAAATAAATCCCAGAATAAAAAAGAAAAAGAAAAAAAGGAGAGGTCGGGAGCTTCAGTCACCCACCAGCCTGAAAACGGCCGTCAGCTCCTCACCCAGACTGGCCAGGCACCCCAGTGGGGACCCGCACCCTGAAGGGGGTGTGACCAGATGCGAATAGCCATCATCCCCTCATCCAGGCTGGCCAGGCACCCAAGCAGGACCCCAGCCCTGATCCGGGACACACTTCAGGGCAAACCAGCCGGCCCCCACCTGTGCACCAGGCCTCTATCCTATATAGTAAAAGGGTAATATGCAAACTGACCCTAACAGCAGAAAGACTGGGAATGACTGGTCACTATGACACACACTGACCACCAGGGGGCAGACGCTCAATGCAGGAGCTGCCCTCTGGTGGTCAGGGCGCTCTCACATGGGAGGAGCTCTGCTCAGCCACAAGCCAGGCTGATGGCTGCCAGTACAGCGGTGGTGGTCAGAGCCTCTCCTGCCTCCTCAGCAGTGCTAAGGATGTCCGACTGAAGTTTAGGCCTGCTCCCGCTGGCAAGTGGACATCCCCGAGGGCTCCCGGGCTGCCAGAGGGATGTCTGATTGCCATCTTAGGCCCAATTCCCGGGGAGCAGGCCTAAGCCAGCAGGTGGTCATCCCCTGAGGGGTCCCAGACTGCGAGAGGGCACAGGCTGGGCTGAGGGACCCCCCTCTCCCCTCCCCGAGTGCACAAATTTTTGTGCACCGGGCCTCTAGTTATATATAATAAAAGAGTAATATGC